AGTGATCAATGTCGCCAGTGTGAACCTGTGCTTCTGTGCTCGAGTCAGACTCAGCGGGCGTCACATTCAGTCTGCGGGGGGTTATAGACTCTTTATCCTTGGACCTCTTCAGCTCTTTTCGTGCAGACACCAGTCCATCCTCTACTCTGAAAAGCCCCTGTGTTCCTTCAGTCTGGGCCGCTCAGTCTCTGGCTCACGGCGCTTCCGATCGGGACGAGAAGCAACACAACACAAACTTGTTCCTACACACATTTGTATGAAAACTCAGCACCTTGGAGCCAAGCGTGGGTGCAGCTGCAGCTCTGGGGAGGTCAAATAAAAGCCCCTTTGTGCTTTTCGTTTGGAAGAAGTGAAATCATCCAATTGTGAATATTAACTTGGCCAATTTCGCTCTCTTTGTTTAGATGAAATAAGCTGATAACGGAGGAAATTAATGGAAAAGATGTTGTATTTCCAAGCTCCTTTCAGTTTGTGGTTCTCAGAAAAAGAGAAAAGATAACATTAAAATATTCAAAAAACAGAATTATCACCAGTCATTACAGAGAACCATCCAACTCATTATTTGTTCAACTTAAAGTGTTGAAAATGCATAATATTGTTGACTTAATTCTCCTCAAAGTCATGTGTAAAGCAAAGTGCAATTTATTACCTGTAAATATTCAAAGACAGTTTGAGAGGAGAACAAGCCACTACAATTTAAAAGGAACCTACATGTTTAAAAAACCCAGATTTAGAACCAAAATTATGGAGGAAAGCATCACTGGGAAAGGAGTTCACTTATGGAATAGTCTTGGCAAAGATATAAAAGAATCAAGTACAGCAATGGCATTTAAAAACACATAAAATCCAGTGCAATGTGTATGTATCAAAGTGGGACCAAGTCGTTGTTTTCCAAATCTCAAGTAAGTCTCAAGTCTTTGACCTCAAGTCCGAGTCAAGTCCCAAGTCAAAGACAGGAAAGTCCAAGTCGAGTCTCGAATCACTGCCTCACAAGTCCAAGTCGCCTGCTTTGAGCTTCAAGTCATTTCAAGTTTTGCAATTTATATAAAATTTAAACTAAATTGTACTTAAAAAGTCAATCATTATGTAAGAATTGTAGAAATGCATTTTTTTTTCCTTTTAAAATGATCTTAGTGTGAATCATTACAGTCAGAATAGAAAGAATGTTCTGTGTAGTTCCCTCTGTTGTACTTTATTTTACTGTATATTACTGTAGTACTTTTGAGGACACCACATCACAGTACTTCAGTCACATCCAAACTGACAAACACAGAAGTGGGAGGGACATGTTCCAGTTTGTTCCTGTCAAATTAAGCACCGCATTTATCAACTGAAAAGAAAAAAAAAAAAATCTAGAAACATATATATATATATTTTTAGGGGAAGCATCAAGTCTTCTCAAGTCACAAGCCTCAAGTCCAAGTCAAGTCCCAAGTCACTGACCTTCAAGTCCGAGTCACGTCCCAAGTCTTAGTCCATTTTATCAAGTCTCAAGTCCTAAAAATAGTGACTCAAGTCTGACTCGAGTACAAGTAACGACTTGCATGTCCACACTGAATGAAAAAGGAAACTAAGCTGTTGTGCATAATAGTGAATTTTTCTGTTTGCAACTGATGAATAATTGTGATTGAACTGAAATGTACTGAAATAAATGTTTTAAAGTGACTCTCAGTGTTGATGTTTTTTCTGGAAAAGAGAAAAGGGGCAGATCACATACAATACTCTTCTTTCTGCTCCTTTTCATTCATTTGTTGTATGTTTGATGTTGTGACACTGCTCATGTCTTTTAAACTTTATGAATGATTTTTTTTTTTTAAAGTTAGATTTCAATCTGACCAGAAAGTGCTGATTTAGATGGAATTACAACAGGTGAGCCGAACTGTGCTGTTAAACAAATCCCTCTCAAATAACATTTACACTAGAATGACCAGATTTTCAAAGTCAGAAACTGGGACACTCTCAGGTTGTGGTGGTTGGTATAAATAAAATTCAGAAACGAGTACATAATTAAGGAAAACTGTTCTCGGCCCATTCATGACCAACATGTGAGTCAGTCGGTCACATTTTCTTGGTGTTTTGGTCGTTTTTAAGAAGCTTTTCTGTATTTTACCTCAACAAATGACAATGTCTGCCTCTCTTTACCGTTGGCGGGGATCAGATTGGTGAAAAATAGTGACACCTGGAACATTTCTTGTATAAAACTGGGACAAATCACTGGTTTTGGATAAATCTGCTGGGACAAGGGACAGAAGACTCAAAACTGGGGCTGTCCCGGGTAAATAGGGACACACTCTCACCTTTTTGTTGAAAATCAAACACCTAAACATGACCATAAACACTCGTATTGATCAAAGGCTCCTGAAAATGTGCTGTTTAAATCCATTTTGTATTTTTTTTCTTGAGTTTCCACACAATCTAAAAACTTTTTGGTAGTCATCGCTAAAGTGAGCATTGTCTGATCATGATAACATTCCACTATAGATGTTCATACAAATACTTCCCAGCAAAGTATGGACGCACATTCTCCAGAACTCAATAAAAAATAGGCCTACAGAGACTTGCAGGCAACAAACATCATCATGCAGCGTTACAAGTCCCAATAAGTTCTCATCTTTAGTTTCAAATTGGGTAGTGTTGACAGATTACTGCAGTAGATTCCAAAATTATTATGAAGTAGACTCGATTCTTGTGGTTAATCAAGTTATGAACTGTGAATGTTAATACAAAAAAATGCATTTATCTCAGTGAGAACAGCTTTAGGAATGCACTGAATTGGGTGTATCCTAATAAAACGGACTCCATTGCTGCTTCTTGTCGGTAAATTCCTAAAATGATTTTTCCCCCATTTGATAAAAGTTTTTTTTTTTATTATTATTTTAAAGGTCCTATATTAGGCAAAACTGACTCTTGTGAGCTTTAAATCATGTTATAATGTTGTTACCGCATCAAAAACAGACCTGGAGTTGTGTTTTGTTATGTTTTCATTCACACAAATTTTAATAACTGTGCATCTGTCTACATCTCCAAAACTCAAAATGTCTTGTTCTACTTTGTGATGTCATGAAGTTTGTCCGTAGTTTTCAAGTTATCAGCTCCTTTTACCTTTTGTTCAGTAGAGATTTGCATTTCCAGAGCTGAAATCGAACAAATGATTCTAGTGAAAGTGTTTGAACTCAGCCTAACTATGCAGGATTTGTGCGGAATGTGTGAATGAAACAAAACAAAACTATGGGTATATTTTTGTTGGGAACATTACATAGATCAGAAAATAGAGTAACATGGGCTTTTTACATTTCTGAGCCTGTGTAGCTGAGGTGTGCATCTTTGTGTGGATGAGCAATGGGCTAAAGATCGTGTCAAATCAAACCAACTTTATTTATCAACTCAAAATCACAATGAGAACATTAGATTAACTTATATTCTATTCACAATTCAGTTTTGTTAATTAAGTAAAAGTACAGACACAAGGGCAAAGAAATAAAATAATGAACTAAAAGTATCACATGAAAAATCTATGCAAGTAAAAGTATTAAAGCATCTGTTTAAAAATGTACAATGTAACTTGAGTAAGAAGCTGAAGTATTTTCTAATAAAGCTTCAAATGTAGAGATTTTGACAAAGATTTATGCTGAATTTTGTTCAACAGAAGCAACTGAACTGAACAGTTGTTTTTATTTGTATTTTTTGTTTAAATCAGGGGTGTCAAACTAATTTTGGTCCAGGGGTCATATCCAACCTACTTTGATCCCAAAGGGGCCGGATCAGAAAACTCAAGGCACATATATCCCAAAGTTCAAATATTTGTGCAGAGAAACGCAAATCTATTACAGAAATCTTTTTTTAATTGATGAACTCTTTCTTTTACAAATTATTATAATATTATGAACCTGAAACTTTAAGAAAAATGCAATTTCAACACGATGTTTTAACATGAACTTGTATGTAAATAGGAATAAGTCAATTTTTCTTGGAAAATCCTGCACTCGGCTCCACTTTTCTCATTTGTGACATTTTGCTGATGAGGGTGTCACGGTCAACAGACAAAACGATCGTCCTTTAAGAGCGTTTGGAAAGAGGCCAGTCTTCATTTGTGCTGCTCTGGTGGGAGGGGCCACGTACAGAGGCACTGGAGACGCTGCTATGATAAGCGGCGCAGAAAATTACCAATATTTTAATAAAAAATATGAATAAAATATTTTTGTAGAAAATCAGCCAAGGGCCAGATTAAAGATCTTGGAGGGCCAGATCCAGTCCCCAGGCCATATGTTTGATACGCCTGGTTTAAATTATGAACATGTTAAAAATAAATACCTCAGACTTTTCAGCAGGTCTCACATAATAATAAAAATACTTTTACTTTTCGGTCCTGTTCAAAAATGTAGTGGAGTAGAAAGTACAGATACCTGTTCTCAAATGGAGTGAAGTAAAAGTAAAAAGTATCCACTAAAATGTACTTATGTAAAGTACAGAATACCTAAAAGTTGTACTTAAAGGTGCATGGTGTAACTTTTCTGGCATAGGGCCCATCAAATACTTTTCTTCATGGAGACGGCGTTATTGTTTTGTCTGGAATGTTTCACAGTCTGGTATCTTGATGGAGACCAAACCAGACCGAGTTACAAGTCAGATCTGTGGAGAGGCGACCCACTCAGAGTCAAAATGTGTTTTTCTAGATATTTTCGAGCTTTAAAACTACACATAATTGAACAAATTTAAGGTAGAACTGCATGTCATACTGTCAAAAAGCAATGACCCCAAACCCCTAACCCAAAAGTTACATAATGCACCTTTAAGTTCAGTACTTTTACTTTGTTACACTGCCTAAACCTAACCTAAGCCCTGTGACCTTAATACATCTTTTAATGTCATGCAGTTGATCTAATAATAAAAGAGTTACGTCATGGATTTTCTAACCTACAAAAGAGGCTATACCCATGAATTGACTTTGTATACACAGAAGTATCCTCCCAAACAAAATAAAACCACACGCAATCCCCGTCCATGTTGCACAACTTACTTTAATAGAATACTTTAACTCTGTACAAATTGGAAAGAAATATTGCGCAAGTAACAAATCGAGAATAAGAATAGAACCAGATAAGGCCATAGCCAGCGCGCGGCTCCGTTTCGCCGCGGCTAGGAGGGATCAGCAAAGATATACAGTCAGTACAATCTCGTTAAAAATCTGCGGGCTTTAAGATGTCGTCTCTGCAATTAAGAACCAGGCAAAAGTTTCTGAACAAAACACTGGTACAAAATACATTGGCAACCTCTCGTAGTCCCGTTAACATTCCACAGAATTAGACAAGGACAAAGTAGGGAACAGGGATTATAAAAGTGCACTGTGTAACTTTTCTTTTGGGAGTCAGCCACCTTATTTTTTCTACGGATATGTCGTTTCTCTGCTTCGATTGTTCCACAGTATGACATTAAACACTTCGGCTTGACATTTATTTCATTACAGGTGGTTTTATAGCTTAAAAAAAAAAACTAGAAAAACACAGATCTGACCAGTAATTTGGCCTAGTTTCGTCTCAATTATGACAGAAAAGTTTAATGTCATACTGTTAAACATTATGCCAAAAGTCTCCAACCTTTTTCCTCTGCTGAGCTACTTTTACAAAACAAAAATGCCGGAGAGATACTCATTTTAGCGGCCGCAAAAATTGAGACAATTATAAGAAAGAGGGCAAAACTTTGGGTACAGTTAGATGAAAAATGAAACATAAATCGCTGTGCATTTATTAGTGCAAAAAGTTGGAGTTCAGAATTATTCGTTTACAGTAGTAATAGGCATGTAATTAACCAAATTTTTGTTATTAAAAACATAAAATAAATCCCTCTTTTCCCTGTATTTTTATGTTATTTATTGAATTTACTTATTAGTTTCTTCTTCTTATTATTATTATTATTATTATTTTTTTTATATTTTATTTGATTTATTTATTTATTTTTTGGAGACAATGGAGTGGGGTTGGGGAATAAAAAAATGGTCACATTACATTACTAATTGTTTTTCTCTGAGACATCTGCTTTATGTGCACACAAAAATAAAAAATAAAATTATTCTCAGCACAATGGTATAATTTCGAAATCCTTTGGCGAGCTACAGGTTGGAGACCACTACATTAAACTAAGCAATAACATCTTCATAAATAAAAAGCAGGTGACAGAAAATCCACCAGGCAAAGTTCCACAATGCACCTTTAACTTCCAAAACGCATTATTAAAAACCTTTTGCAGATGAATTGGCAAACAGTTAAAAGTATATTTTGGCTTACTGACATCAACATTAGTTAATTAAACATATTATCTTGTCTTGTTTATTATCTTTGTTCTACCAAAGCCTCACACTTAACAGAGAAAACAGGCAATAGTAAAAATAAAAAATACTTGAGACATGGGCAGTTTATGAAAAACTTTACATTTCTTTCCTCGTCTTCACACAAACACCAGCCTTTTATGGGTTAGTGGTCACTTTGTCTGAGTAAGTGCATGTTCAGGAAACAGTGTTTGGCAAGAAAAGAAGTATTTCGTGGTCGGACATGTTTTGTATGGCCAGACACAAAGCGTAGCCTCACGTAAAGGTGCATTGAGCAATTTTTCTGGCTCGTCTCCATGGAGATGTTATTGCTTTGTCTAGAATGCTCCGTGGTAGAGATTAAACCCAAGGGAAATAACTACAGGTCACATTTCAGGTCAGATCTGTGGAGATTTCTGAGCAACAGAAACACCTGTGATAATCCGTGTATCATTCGTTTTTCAAAATGAAACCAAAAATAAGGAAAGGAAAAAACAACAATTTTCTCCAAAACCAAAATTAAAAAAACAGATAACGATTTGTTTTTTCAGTTTTTGATTTTGTGCTTAAATGAATAATGGGAAAAAAATGAATAACAGACGTTTTCCGTTTACGTGTTTTAAACTGTGATGCCGGACTTTTGCTCTGTATACGGACCGAACCAGGACCGAACCAGGACCAAACCAGGACCAGGACCAGACTAGGACCAAAGCAGGACTGAGACCAGTTTAGTCCTGGTTCAATCCTGGTTCAGTCTTGGCTCAAACCTGGTTCAGACCCGTTTTAGTCCTGGTTTAAACTGTAATCCGGCATCGTTGTTTAAGTCACGGAAACAGGAAATTCATTATTAATTTAAACACAAAATCAAAAACTGAAAAAAACAAAGAGTTATTTGTTTTTGGAGAAAAATAACGAAGAAAACTGTTGTTTTATTAGTTTTTTCATTTTCTTATTTTTGGTTCTATTTTGAAAAATGAATAAACGAATGATACACTGATTTGTAATGAATAAATGCTAGATAGATGTGTTTAACGCCATACTGTGGAACATTCCAGGCAAAGCAATAACATCTCCATGGAGACAAATAGGTGACAGACCCTCCACTTGAAAAGTTGTGCAATGCAGCTTTAACTTTGTGTACCAACTTTAAGTGTAAAGTGTCCAAGAAGTTTTTTAATGCTCGTTAAGACAAGCCCCCCTCATGAGAACTGAACCGGAAAATTACACGTTTTGAAATGTATTAAAAGGTGCATTGTGTAACTTTTCTGGTGGAGTGTCTGCTACCTATTCGTCTCCATGGGGATGTTATTGCTTTGCCGGGAATGCTCCATGATATGACTTTAAACATATCCATCCAGCATTTACTCATTACGACTGTTTCTATTGCAGACAAAGCAATAACATTTCCACGGAGACAAGCAGGCGACGAAATGACCCTCCACTGGAAATGTTACGCAGTGCACCTTTAAGAAAACGACTTTGATTTGACTTTTTGTTCACGTTCAGCCCAAGTAAATCTGAGCCAACAATCAGTCTCTAAGTGAAGTTTAAATAACGCACCATTTCACACAACATCTTGTTCAATGACAGAACAATGAACATTAAAAATGAAATGATAAGTTGTATGCTTTTTTTTTTTAAAACATCTGAAAATGATACACCAAAAAACATACAACCCTGTGTAACATTTTAGTTATTCAGCAGTTTCCTGGTAAACTTACGCTTTCGTTGGCAATAAAAACCCTGAGTAACTAATTAACTTTGAAACTAAAAGATGGCATCCTTATCCATGTATGTGACGTCCATGTCTCTCCCACTCCACCTTCCCAACAAGGAAATACTCGTCGGCTTAAAGGTGCACTGTGTAACTTTTCTCGTGGAGGATCTGTCATCGATATGTCATCTCTCTGCCTGGAATGTCCCGCAGTATGACATTAAAAAGCTCTGCCTTACGTTTCTTCAATTACAAGTGGTTTTAAAGCTCAAAAACACCTTGAAAAACAGGCATTCTGACTGTGAGCGGGGTCGCCTCTCCACGGATCTGACCTGTAACTTGGTCTGCTTGGTCTAAATGAAGATAGAAACGTTTAATGCCATACTGTGAAACATGAGCAATAACATCTACATGAAGAAAAGCATTGGATGGACTAGAAAAGTTGCACACACCTTTAAGTTATTTCCACTTAAAGATGCACTGTTTAACTTTTCCGCCACCTGCTGGTCTCCATGGAAACGCTGCTGCTTGCTCTGGAACATCCTGGCGTGGCATTAAACGCATCAGTCTTGCATTTATTCAATAATTTGGGCTTTTATTGACTTAAAAACGTGCATTCTTGCTGCGCGTGGGCTCGCCTCTCCACAGATTTCGCACGTCACTCGGCCCTATGGCACCACCTGCTGTCTCCATAGAGATAAACAAGCGTAATGCCGTACTGCGAAACATTCCGGGCAACATCTGCGCGGAGAGAAACGAGTGACGGAGCTCCCACCAGAAAAGTTACACAGTGCGGCTTTAATGGGACGAAAGCCAAATAAATTAGAGTAAATAGAGGAACACGGGCGCAGGACTGATGTCAAGTCATGCACTCACAGTATTGCATTCATTTCATGTGTGTGTAAAAGGGGGCCTGCTCAAAAACGGACTCTGTTGAGAAGGTCTGACGTGGGTTTGTTCGGTTACGTTCGCCAAGTCCGCTGACGGTTACTGCTGCTTGCATTCGGCAGGCTGGGGCTGTTCTTTCTGCGGGAGAATCACGGAGACACAATTTAGGGATTTCAGAGCGGACAAAGCATTCAAAAAGCAGTCGTATTAGCAGGAAACAAGAGAAAACGTGAAAAGGAAAGCAAGCAAAGAAGATAACAGGCTGCTAGAAGACACCTGCTTGTGTAAATCATAAAAGGAGTTGTGTTAGAAACCCAGAAAAGGACGAAAAAAGGAAATATAACAATTGTAAGTGCAAGTTCCTAAACATGAGGCTATGAAGAGAGAGTTAGAGATAGAGAGAGCAGCCAGATAAAAAAATACCTAAGCCAAAAATAAAAGGAATTTGCTGGGCACTGTTATTCAATATTCGCCCTTACCTAGAAATGCATGGGGTGAAAATGATTTGATTAGGCCTGTAATGGAAAGGAACCCAAGAGAGGGAGAGACAACAAAATAGACTTTAATAAACAAAAAAGGAAAAAAATAATAAAAACAGACAGTCAGAATTATATATTTGTCAATTTGTTTCAGATTGGAGATTCTAGTAATTCAAAGTATTGTGTTGGTACTTTAATCAAACTGCCTTGGCTTAATATGTATGTAGCATTTTCCTCAAATTTTCCGTATTTTTCGGTCTATAAGTCATGCTTTTTTTATGGTTTGGGCGTTTCCTGCGACTTATATATTAAAATTTTCACACTGGCAGCCGCGAGAGGCTCTAGTCTTGTGTGTCAGTATCTGCTGCTCCTGTTACTCCTGTACCACTGTCACTTCACTCTACTGCGCATGTCTCCTGCAGAAAAAGCTGACCTGCTGCAAGGACCGAAATATTCAGCTGAAAACTGTAATCGAGCAGCAGAAAGAAAGTTTGGAGTGAGCAAGAAACTAGTGACAACCGGAGTGGTACTCCATGCAACTTTCCTGAAATTCACTGGATGGATCGACAAAGCATGAACTTCAGTGACACTGAAACCATCCTGTCGAGATTCAGAAAGGCCAGAATAATTCTAACTGGAACTGATGCTGAGTCTGACAACAGCAACACAGCAGAGGAAGCAGTGCTCCGTTTACCTCTGGAGGTCATGGAGTTGCTCAGAACTGACACAGAGGATGAAGAATTCAATGGATTTAGTTATTTGGAGTGCGATGGAGAGTTTGGTAAACTTGTTCTGTTCTGTTGTTTATGCTATAGTTATCTGAATGTTAACAGTCTATTGTTCTCTGTTCTATTGTTACAACTTGATGAAATATCGATTCCTGGTCTCCGATTTTATAAAATACATTTCCCCAAAAAGTGCGATATAGTCCGGTGTGACTTATGTTTTTTTCTTCTTCATTACGCATTTTTGGGCTGATGTGACTTATAATCTGGAGTGACTTATAGTCCAAAAAATACAATACATAAAATTGACTCTTGTGAGCTTTAAATCATGTTATAATCCTGTTATCTCATCAAAAACAAGCCTGGAATTGTGTTTTGTTTCATTCACACAGGTTTGAGCAATCCTGTATCTACAACTCCAAAGCTCAATGTGAATGAATGTAAATGTGTGAATGAAACAAAATTCAACTCCAGATATGTTTTGATGAGGAAACAACATTATAACAGATGAGACAATATCATATTAAGGACCCTTTAAGATTGTAGATTCTAGTAATTGCCAGTAGACACCAAACTGGGTACTTGAATCAAACTGGCTTTGCTTAAAAAGTAGTATTTTACTCTCATCTTCTTTCTTAAAAATGTGCAGGAATTTAGCGAAGACAGTGCATTTACTAAGAGACAGAACTACATTTGAGACAAAGAAGCATTGTTGGCCACTCCTTGGCGTAACCCAAATGACACAGACCAGTCAAGCTCATAATGAAGAGCCTCTATCAGCTACAAGAGGAGTAAGAAAATACCAGAGAAACACATTTTTGCGCAGTGAAGTATGTGGAAAGAGCTGACAATTCTAGGAGTTGCGCAGAGTCATTCCCACGACCTAACAGCACCAAAGGCTAAAGCTAAAAACAGAGGGGGTCAAAGGGCGCACTCACCTTGGGGTCAAAGTCGCCATCGTCGTCATCTTCATCACCCTCTTCGTCCTGCTCCTGACAAACAAGCAATAATTTAGAAAGCTGACGATTCAAATAATTTTACCATATTAAAAGGGCCTATTCTATGCTTATGTTTTTTCCTCATTAAAAACCGACCTGGACTTGTGTTTTTAAGCTCGATAAACCTTCACTAGAATAATTTGGATGATATCAACCCTGGAATAATAGTGAATTTCTACTAAACATAACATAAAAGGTAGCTGTTAAATGGAAAACTACCGCTTCATGACACAAAAATAATGACAAACACTTGTGAATGAAACAAAACACAACTCCAGGTATGTTTTTCAGGAGATAACAGGATTCTAACATGGCTAAAAGCTCACAACAGTCAATTTGTGAGCTTTTAAATCCGAATTAAGTGGGTGGTTTATTCCGATTTTAACGCCAAATTAATTTATTTCACGATCATGCAGACATTTATTTCTCTTAAAAATAATTCCAGTCGTTAAGTGGATGCGTGTTGGGTCAACCTTCAAGATGGTGAAAAAAAGTTTGTATCATGTTTGTGTCCGGGTCAGCCTGATGTTCCCCGGTGCCTATGTAATTGCGGAAGGTATCGATGTTCCCTGTTAACACCGCGGGACGTCCTCATCCCAAGTTATCATCATGAACTCATAAAACAGCAGCATGTAGCCTAGAACTTTGTATGCAACTCACTGCACATCAGCCCGGAGCAGAAACACTGAGTTCAGGCAACAGAGGTAAAGACACGGCAAATGACAAACCGAGATGACAAAAAAAAAAAGCCTGTAGTAGAAGTGTGTGTTTTCTTCCGGCCGACGTAAATAAGTTTGTGTCCCTGTCCAATCAGAACCCTTCCCCACCCCCAGACGTTGAGTGGAATTAAATAAAGGCAATTTAACGTGTTTTCCATTTAAACCTTAATTCGGTATTATTATTTCCAGGTATACTTGAAGGAGAATAGTTTAATTCTGAACTAGACGCTTGCAATGAGCAAAACAAAAAACAAACAAAACTCTCCGGTTCTATGCGATTCACGTGAATGACCCAATTGACCAAGAAAAAGGCGACTGTTGCCGAAGAGCGACAAGTTTGCAGGTATGATAGTTGTATTTGTGACAGAATCTAGTTTAGTAGTAAGACATAAAAAATGTAAATGGCGTTATGTATAGTCCTATGGGTGTTTTTCAGATTGTAGAATGCGATGGTGTCATGCTCTCAAATGGGGGGCAAGGGTCAGATTTCCCCATTGATCACGTTGCACTTTGCCATGAAATTTCCAAAAGATAAACTCACAAATGCTGAACCTGGTATTTTCAGTCATTGACTAAAGAACTCACTGTATTACAACATAATTTTACATTTTAACAATATTAATTCTAGCTGCAGTTTAATTTGATGATACAGTATCAATATCGTGGGCTGCTGTGTCAATATAACATCAAGAGTATTTTTTGGTATATTTTATTGAATTACTTAGTCTAAGAGCTACAGTTGGGTTGACATTTTCACAGTTTTTCTTATTAACTTTGCACAAACTTAGTGGACTTAATAGACTTTTAGTATCACAGCCATGATTTAGCCTTTGTTTTTCACTTTTCAGTCTGAAATACATCGCACTGAATCAAAAGTACACTGCATCGGCAAACATAGTTTCGTGGCTTATGTATCGCGGTATGTATTGTTTCAGCAGCTTCTTAATAACATAACACCCTACCCTAATCTGAATTGATCAATATTTGGCTATAGAATGCTGCGATACTGTCTGAAACCCAGCGATAAATAAGTGAGAATCTCGTTTACCAACCTCTTCATCTCCCTCTTCCATCTCCTCCTCTTCAAACTGAAATACATGAAATGAAAACATGGTTAAAATGACTGAGTTTCAAGGAATTTGACAGATTCATTAGAAAAGGCAGAAGTGGCTCACGCTCTCGTCTGCCTCTCCTGTGAAGTACAGCACGGCTCTGGGAACAATCCTCTCACGGAAGAAATGACCGATCTCAAAGTCTGTGGCTAAAGAGGCGAGCGCAAACTCCGAGTCATCCTCCTACAAGGAACAAAGCACCAACATGAGCAAAACCAGACTTACACAAACTTTACTGAGCCACAAGGGAAATTATTTGGGCCCAATAGCTCACAAATCACAACATAATATCAACTATTATAGTTTTGCTCCTTGTTATTATAATAAACTCAAAGTAAGTAGCAAAAATAGAGACTCATGTCAAATAAGGCATAAAAATAAGAGTAGAAGGTACCCACCTCTGCGTCTGGCGAGGCTGAAAGAACATAAACACAAAAGTATTAACTTATGACTAAAAGACAATTTACAACAAAAAACACTGAAGTTCATATATCACAATGTTTAGTAATATTTGGTACTCAAGATTTTTTTCTTTTTTTTAATTTAAAAGCATACTGTTGCTACGGCTTTACTTTGTGACTCACTAAACATACAGGTCCTCTTTTCTTAGATCTTATTATGTGAACTGGTTTAATGTATTGTTTATCTCTGAAGAATTTGGGTTTAATATTTGTGTATCAGCTACACATGTGGGCCTTAAATCTCCAACAAAGGCTGATATTTTGTTTTGGGTGACCTGCTCCCTAAAAAAAAAACCCCATAAAGCTTTATTTGAACTTTTGATAACTGCTGAAAACCTGACTACACAACTCTCTTTTAGGTTTGAGGTAAAAAACAGGGCTGTGGGTGAGCTTTTAGTCAATGTAAATTACATTATTTGGGGGAAAAACTGAAAATCAGTCATAAACAATGGCCCAAAAATATCAGCAGAGTTTATCGGTCATAGGTTGCTCTGGATTCTAAACAAGTGATATCAGCTTTGGCCCCTAAAAAGCCCATATCGATCCATCTCTCGTGTAAATTTGAACGAGGACACTGCTGAGTCCAAAGTCTACAGCTGAGTCACTGTTGCTAAGTATTAACAGGCCTCTGGCACCATCTGCTGGTCAAAAGCGATAAACTGAGGAGGAAAATCTATTTGTGCTGGAGGACTTTTTCTAAGACTGTAATATTTTACAATAAACACAGTAAAAACATCAAGCAGAGGTTCATCACACATGTATGTAAGGGGGTGCAGAGTTCACAAACCTTTGACTGGGTTAAAAAAGTTGAAGAAAGAGTCATTAGGAACTTGTTTGGTGACCGTGCGGACTGTGCCACGACCTTTATGCTTCTGCTTTTTCTTGATAGTTTTCACGGTCACATCTTTTCCTTTGTGCCAGTCTATTTGACAGCTAAAGAAGGAACAAGAGAGAGGGCATATTTTTATATTAGAATATATTTCTTTAGAGCATTTGTGTACTCTAAACAGACTCTTACCCTTCGCAATCAATAATCTCTGGGCCCTCAAAAGAGAATGGGTCGGACTCATCAGGCTCTGATTTCATCTTATAGACTTTAGTTAGAACTGCATTGTTGAAGTAACCATTTGGTTCAAAGTGGAACTCTAACGTAAAACTCTGAAAAACAGACAGACATTTTCCTTTAGCATCTGTACAAAATTTAACACAGGAAATATAAATATAAACTGGTAGTACAGACCATTGGCTGCCCTGGCTCTGAAAACTTGACTTGAATATCTTTCAGATGTTTAAGGATAGGTTCATCATGTTCCTGTTGAGAAGAAAAAAAAGGTAAAACATGCTGCACAGATAAAAACACAAGAAGGAAAACTGGCAAAAGCCAAAACATTTAAACATTATTATTACAAAAGCAGTAAAAGAAAAATTCAGTTCTGTCAGTCAGCGTCTTTAGTTCTGGTCCTGTCTTCACTCTAAAACTTTTGTTGAGTAACAGAATTTAATTTTTCTTTTGCTATGGATCATACCTGAATGATATTACAAAAGCATTATAAATAATTACTGGCAAAAAAGTTTGGTACCTGTAACATGTCACTGAGCATGTCCACACTTTTAAAAATGGTAAGCCAGAATTCAGGAATGCCTTTTAGGTCTTCCTGTGGAGTTTCTTCTTTCTTTGCATCTTCAATAGTCGCTTTTTCCTTAACATCTTCCTACAGATTTATTGAGAATAAAACATGTTTAGTTGAAATAAACAGCAGAGTGCAGTAAAGGTCACTGGTTCACTTACAGCGAGCTCATCCTCTTCATCTCTGTCACTCTGCCACTCACACTCCTCATCTGTGGGCTCCACTGTTCCTGTGACTATGTCTCTTCTCTGTGAATCATTAAAGACAAATCATCAGAACACAACAAGCACTTCACCTGCTTTAAAAACTACAATCACAACTTCACACCAATGTCAGGAGACAAAGTCTCAGTCCATAATGAACATCATTACCTTTTGAAAATCAGTCCACCAAAAATTTTTGAAAATAAATATTTTTTACATGGTGTAAAATGTATTTAGTGTAAACATATGTTTTGTCTTATTTTACTTTACATCCAGGGATAGGACACAAAGTTGACAATGTATAGTTGAAAATGATGCCCAATTGGTTCCGTTAAATTAATGTTAATGACAAAGGAAATATCTGTTCATTGAGGAAAGTCTTTGAAGCCCTCAGTGAAATGTGAACTATGTGAAACACACACGCTAAGTGTACACACTCCGGCGACAGGTGTGGCAGGATTACAGCTGTCAGTCTTCAGTGAAACTAAGAATGTCACTCACTCACTGGAAATAGCTCTGACTGACAAATGAACAGTTGACAACTCGTTGTGGTAGTTTTATTTTAGCACCATGAATGTGCGCTCACTGATCTCAGATCGGAAAAGGAGCGTAAACACACCAAGGTGCATAATGACATAATAACATGACGTAATAATAACTAATAAAGTCTGAAATACACTAAGGAGATTAACAGACGCATTATAATGAATTTACCTTGTCAAATAGTGGTTGATAAAGAGCAGAATATTTCCTCTCTAGTTCATGGACCTCTTCATAAAACTTGGCCTCAATATTGGCACACTGCACCTGTAGCCTTTTCAAAGCGTGCACTCGCCTCTTGACGGCTTTGGGAAGCATACTGTAGAAAACAAAAATACCAAAAGAGAAAACCTCAAGTTTCATTTCAAAATTAAAATCACTAAAACACAAATGTGCATCTTCCCATAAGTTTGGACAAAAGTAGAACCTGATACCTTTCCATATCCTGAAAGCTGACTGGTTTATCCCCCAGTCCACCTGGATTTTGGACCCCGTGATCCCCCTTGACTACAAAATAAAATAAATTATCTGTTAATTCCAAGAAGAATGAAACATACCCACTGTACTAAAACACTTTAGTAGAATGTACTTTACCTTTACTTGCGTCCATGACCGCGACTTCCTCTGTCCAAACGAAACAAATAAAAGTTACTAATCATTTGGTCTTACGTGTGTAACGCGTTTATTAAGGGTTAGAGCGCTTTCATTAGGAGCTGCAGTCAAGTTCACATGTGACACATTGAGCAACATGAATAACACAGGCTGTTATTATGTTGTTAAACGTATTTACACGGTCTTTATCGGGTCTGTGGTTGGTAGGTGCGCGGGCCGATGGCGCACGGACTAAAATTATGGTCACAAACAACAATGTGAGGCTGACAGCTACCAAATTATGTTTATGATTAGATCTTTGTGTGGCGATGAGGAGCAAACACCTTCATCGTGGATGACACCACAAATGTTTGAGGCTAATGTGACTCTGAGCCTCTCAACACAAACGCGCCTCCAGCTCCACGCTCCGCACGCGCCGCTGTTTCTGCGGCATCACGAGGAGAAAATATGAGCACAACAAACAAGACCCAAAGTAAAATCCACTGTTTAAACAAAGAGAGGATAATAAACATGTGACACAGTCGCGAGGACATGAACTGTGCTTTATGACAATCATGCTAACATTAGCTTTAAGCCGCCGCAGCTTTAGCTCATCAGGAACCTGCGGCTAAACGGATGTGACATTGACAGGACGGACTCAGCGGCCGTTAGCTACACGACATCACACCGACATGGTTGTGTTCATAACGCGCTCGTCACGTCTGTGATCAGATTCATGTTCTTTTGTCTTACCTCAGACTGAGCGGAACTGTTGTTACCTGCTAATGCTAACCTCACGCTTCTGCTGCTAGCCACACGCGCGAGCTACACCCGCGTATCAACATCGAGGACGCTGATTGGACAGCGGCCCGTGCTGCATTCAAAGACTGCGCGTTTTTATTCAATTTTAGTTGTTTTTGTTTACGCTCTTGCGCCAAGCAAACACAGGCCTACTTTACAAAACCATTTGTAATTTATTGATGAAATATTTGCCAAATATTAGTTTAAATTCAATGTGCCATCTGCTTTCTGTACTGATAATTATTAGTCAAAAACTGGCAAAATTATTAAAATAACAGATTATTTACTTCGTTTATTATATTCCGTTATTTAGGATATAATATAAGATAAGCTTTGTTGCGGTTACAATGCAAGGTTTGTTGTTAATTGTGACTTTTTGAAACGGTTTCTTTAATTTGGATTAGGCAGCCACGGTTAATAAACAACCTCAAGACAAATATGACGAGCTGCTACGTTCTTCCCTTTACAAACCACAGGGGGGCGCCACTCACCTGAAACAGCCAGAGGGTGACTTGGAGTTGGCCTAGTCTAACCTAATCTCTGAAATTGATTTTACACACAAGTATCCTGTCCAGTATAAGTAGGTCTGACGTGTAAGATACCTGCCTCATACCTGTGTGGTGCATAATCAATAACCTTACCCCTGATCTTCAACTGATGTGGAAAGATGAAACTCAAAAAATACTCCGGGACATCTTGGAAAATAATTAAGAGATTCTTATTTATTTATTTATTTAGTTTATTTATTTATTTAATAAACAAGCCTAACCTACAGCACAGAGAGTTTGGACCTCCACTTTTAGCCTAAATATGGCATCAAATCATTTAATTAATTAATAGATGTTTTTTTTTTTTTTTTTTTTTTTTCCAAGTGTATATCTCTTATATTTTCAAAGAGCAGTGCTAGAAATATGAAATCAAATAAATACAAAAGTGTGAGGCCAAAACAAAAAAACGAATCGAGAAATTTATATAGTAGAAATTATTTTAAAATCCTGTCTTGGCTCATTCTCGTGGATCCAATGTCATATCTCGTCTCGCCTTGTGTTAATAGTGTCTCATCCCACCCCTGTTAATTAGTGAAATATTTGTAGTAATTTAAAACAAACATGGCAGTTTACAGTTACAGCCTTTTTGCAGTAGGCCTAATAAAAGATGCCCTTTTAGCTGCACCTACACCAGCTCTGCTCGTGCTGCCTTCAGAGGAGCAGAGAGGAAGTGACAGCTCAGGACCCTGGGCCATATGTCCCTGTCACGGTCTGACATTTAGCAGCAGCTTTCACAGAGCAAATCACTGTCTCGTGCTGCAGTCAGACTGTGCCAAGAAATGGGAACATAAATACAGTAATAGCTTTTTTTTTTGGAAATGATGCATCAGGCTTTCTTCCGCAACTTTGTTATTTAGAACGAAATGGTCCAATAATTTACTTAGGAGTTTATGGCCCATGAGATCAGTAAAATTGTTCATTTTAGTGACTTCTTTAGATTTCATTTACTATCTGCGTCTCTTCTCAACTGGCTTTTTAAGTTCATTGAAAAAGTGTAAGGTTTGTGCAGGAATAAAAGTTGCACTTACACTTACATTTATTACTCTAATATTATGTTTGAATTGTTGTGTTAAATCTGAATCATAAACTGTTCAGCCAAAATATGAAATATGAGTAGGGCAGCCTAATTTGTACCTTAAAGGTCCAATAAATTAACTCTTTTGAGATTTTAGCCTCAAAAACAGACCTGGAGTTGTGTTTTGTTTCATTCACGCAAGTTTCAGTGATTCTTTGTTATTAGTCTGTCTTCATCAAAGCTAAAAATGCTCTGTTCCACCTTGTGATGTCATGAAGCGGTACTTTTGAAGTTACTACTTTGTACCTTTAGGGCCTGTTTACATGAGAACACTTGCCAGTAAAAACAACAAAATATTTTATCAGAAGTGCCTTTCATTTAGACGATGAAGGCGTTTTTGGGGCTTAAACATAAAAATCTGAAACCACCCTCCAGAGTGGAAAAGTTGAATACGCTTTACTGTAGCGTTTCCGTCTACACTGCCCAAGATGCAAAACTCTGGTCAGATCTACTGATGTCGCGTACGTCACATACATACAGTACACAGAAACCTGGCATGCATACACAATCAAATTCCACACACATTTGTGTCACCGTATGCACTCAGATTTCCTCCCGAAAACACTCGTCTAAACGCAGAATAAAAAGTGAAGATGCGACGCCACTTTTGCGTCTTCTGTTCAGACTGTCATCATATAAACGTAGCCTAATGTTGATGTGAATTTGCCAAAAAACATATATATATAACTTACTTTTTTGTAAATAAAAACTGAATAGACAATCATGACAACTTGGCTTGTTTGATTCTGCAAAATATATTTTCTAAGACGCAAAACTCTGGTCAGATCTGCTCACGTCGCGTACACGTTTACGTTACATACATCACTACCGAGCTGCCTGGCATGCAAACCCAATCTAATTCCACACATTTTTGCGTCACTGTATGCACGCAGATTCCCTCCGAAAACGCTCGTCTGAACGCAGAATAAAAAGTGAAGACGCGACGCTACTTTTGCGTCTTCTGTTCAGACCGTCATCATATAGTTTAGTTTATTATATTTATTTAGTGTCATGTACAATGTAATTGGTGCCCAGCCTGCATGGGCTTATAAGACACATAAAACTATAAGCAGACAGATCACGCATCAAACATAAAGTGTCCTTTTACGGAGGTCCCAGGCTTTCAACACAAACTGAGCCAACTTTAAAACATTACATTGAAACAGATACTTCAGTCTCTCCTCATCAGACAGAGCAAAACAACAGTAAAACACATTAGACACAACTGACAGCGCAGGTCATGATACAAAGGACAGTAAAACAGAAAATGCATTTCATTTTCAATGTCCTTTAAGTCGCACAGAGCAGAGGGGTGCTCCTCCTCTGGGACTGAGTGGAATCGTCCCGTCTCCAAGGCCAGAGGCAGAGTCCCACACCTCAACTGAGCACATACTGACCTCTGACCTCTACTCAGGGTCACGGTGACATATGGCTCAGGTCCAAAACAGTCTTTAATTAAGATATATGTTCTTAATTTTGGTTTACATAAAATTTCATTGTGCCACTTTTGTTTATGCTTATCAGAGTTCTTCGCTTGTCTGACACTACAGACACTATAAACGTAGTGTTGGAGTCAGTTTATATTTATTAAAAAAAAATAATTAATTTGATGAATTTTATATACTATTAAAATGCATTTTTCTTTATTATAGAATTTTTATTGTAGGTCATCCTGATCTCCCTCCCCTCCTCCTGCAGTCAGGTTTATCTTGTCACCTGTAGCAGCAGAGCAGGAAAGGCAGTGCCAGCAGAGAGAGGAGAAGATACTATTTTGTGACCACACTATATTGCAAAAGAAAGTCAACCATGGAGAATATTTTTGTGTGTGTGTGTGTTCTGTAAAATAAATGGATAAATGCAGTTCCTAGATCTCCACATGTGCTTATTTAGCCTTAGTTCAGTAGATTGTCAATTCAAGAACTGAATCGTTGAATTGTGATCTTTGTGAATCAAACACACAACACAACATATAGTCTGCATACTTTTCAAAACATGTACATTTAAGTTCATTTAAAGATCCACCGTCTGTGTCATTTTACATACAGGACAGAGTGATAAGAAATCATTGGGGAAAACTTCAGCAAACACCCACCACAAATCCTGAAGATATCTGTAAGTAAACTCACACTCGTCCATCTCTGAGATCTAAAGTCATTGTCAGTATTTCCTGTGCAGACAAAGCTACACCTGCTGCTGTCACCGTTTACAGCCCCTCACAGCCCTGTATTACACCCATCACCATTGTCCTGCCTCTGAGTGGGTTCTGATGGACACCTGGCTCCTGGACACTGTCTGAGTCATCTGTGTTTGGACCACACAAACAGATCCAGAAAGATAAACTCATTTAAAAGGTGCATTGTGTAACTTTTCTGGAGGAGGGTCAGTCAAACGCTTTTCTCCATGGAGATGAGGGAGACTAAACCAGAGTGCACTTTTAAACTTCCAAAAATCACAGTTGAGTGATATTTCATGTTCGCTCACTGTATTCATGAATTGTACAATTATTCCTGGTCGCAATCATAGTTTACAATGGTCCGTCATCCCTTCATTGGACAAAATTTGGTGACTAGATAGCATTATTGATTATTGAATTTAACTATTGAATTGATTATTGCAGAATCATTCAATTTATATGCTGTAGAGAGTCTTTTTTGCTTGTCTGCTTTTCAAATTTCAAAGTTTCACTAATTTATAAGCCCCAAAATTCATATCTGAGTGGAAACTTTTGGCTTATATAACAGCCTAAGTGTTAGAAAAGACTGATTTTAATGTTTTAAACTTTTGTTCCCATTACTTGTATTGAATACATTCATATATGGTAAAGAAGAAATTCAATTTATCAACTGGATGTTTTGCAAAATGTATTCGACCAAATGAACTTTTGTCCAGTTGACAAATTGAATTTCTCCTTCGCCATGGATTCTACCTGGACGATTTTTCACATAGATTAATATAAGTTCGTCCAAAACACCACAGATAATCTCTTACAAAACTGCAATGCTTCCCTCTAAAGTCACAAACTCAACACCACAGTGACGCCTCAGCGTTCGTGCAGTGATATCTGAAAAGAGACTGCTCGGGTTTAACCGGGATCTTTGAAAGAATCATCCTGTTTTACTGCAAACCCATCTTGAAAACTTTTCAGATGTCAACTGGATAACGCACATTTATTTTGTAGAATTACATTAGATTTTAGTTTTGCTGACAGGAATGGAATGATCTTAATGACAGCAATAGGTCAGGGTAATGTGGGGACAGTCTCACCTCTATAATAAGAACGACATCCTAAAATGTTACGAAATGTCAACTGGGTAACACGTCAACTGAGTAACGGCTCCCATAGACTCCATTATAAAATCAGCTTTACCCAGTGGACATTGGTGAGATTGTTTTATCCAAAGAGTTTAATCTACTGTAAAGAGCTTGAATGAAAACAATTTTAGATTTCAAC